AGCTTCAGAGGTTCCCAGAGAAGCAACATTTATTGGGAGCAATAAATGTTCACAACTCGCCGTTTTGATAATGCTGTGGGCACAGCAGGGAGAGCCTTTTAAATGGGGGCTGAGAGCAGTGGCATTCACTTCCGACTCAGCTCAGGGAGGCTTCCATCAGCTGTGGGCCAGGGCTGTCTGCTTCCACCTCATTGCTTATATTGCCTTCTTTCATCCAGTGAATCAATAGCAACAAAAGTGGCTTCAAACGGCTAAATCCACAATGACAACAATTCCTGTTTGCAGAGAGACATGGTCCAGAGGCAGTTTGGGTCTGGTGGAAAGAACACTCCACTTGGAGTCAAAGAAAACTGAATTATATCCTGGCTCTTCTTCATTTACAGGAATAAAAATAAACTTCATTTATGGGATCAAAAATAAACTACCTCAGAGCCAGCCCTGATGGCCTAGTGATTAAAGTTCAGCACGCTCCGCTTCAGTGGCGTGGGTTGGTTTCCCGGTTGAAGAACCACACCACCCATCTGTCAATTGCCATGCTGTGGTGGCAGCTCACATAGAAGAACTAGAACAACTTACAACTAGGATATATAACCATGCCCTGGAGCTTTGGGGAGGGGAGAAAAACAAAAAGAGGAAGATTGGCAACAGATGTTATCTCAGGGAAAATCTTTCCCTGCAAAAATAAATAAACAAACAAACAAACGACCTCAGAGTTGCTATGAGGACTAAATGAAATTATGAATATGGACACACAGGATGTACATTATTAATACATTCGATGTGATCTACTTATAGTAACCCTATGTTGACTATCTAGTATGTGCCTGATGCTGTGATTTTGTTATTTCATTGCTCTTCATAACAACAGCATAGGGTATTTGAGGGGTTGCAGAATACGCCACCCCAAAATATGCCACTTTGGCATAAGGATTCTTTTGAGCTAAAGGCACCTGAAAGACAGCAGATGCAAGCAGGGCATTCTAATCTCTCCTTTTTTTCCCGAAAACAGGAGATAAAACGCCCATGTGAAAAGATGCCCTCACTGTACCAGGAGAAAACATTCTTCATAAGGAGTCAAAAACAAGAGAATTCTGTACAAATACAGCTTGTTAAAATAATCCTTCTCTTCTTTTAGCCTCCTTGTATGTTTTAGTTACTTTTCCACAATTGCCTCTCTTTGTTCAACCTAGTATAAAAGCATTTAGGTTTTGCCACTTCTTGGGGTTTTCATCTTCTTGTGAGGACTTCCATGTCACTTAAAACTTATATTAAATAAGTTTGTATTCTTTTCTCCTGTTAATCTATTTTATGTTAATTAAATGCTTAGGCCCAGCCAAAGACACCCTTCTTATGTTCTCATGGCTGGACTAATAATAAAATTAGGGGTAGAGGGTAGAGGTAAAGTTTTGCATACCCCACATATTCCAGTGGTATGCTGGTAAACCAGCTGGGGATGAGGGGAGCCTTGATTTTGTAGAATTTGCTGATTAACATGGTGTACACTAGTCCCTTGGTATCCGAGGGGGATTGGTTCCAGGACCCCCTCAGATATCAAAATCCACAGATGCTCAAGTCCCTTAAATAAAGTGGCATAGTATTTGCATATAACCCACACACATCCTCCTCTATACTTTAAATCATCTCTAGGTTACCTATAATAACTAACACAATGTAAATAATTGTTAGACTGTATTGTTTAGGGAATAATGGAAAGAAACAAAAGTCTGTACATGTTAGCCAAGATGCAACCATCATAGGCCTTTTGGTCCATGGTTGGTTGAATCAACAGATGCCGAACCCACAGATATGGAGGGCTGACTGTAAATACTTCCACTAAGGCTGATTTCAAGCTACCAACAGTTTTAACAACTGGCTTGCAAAATTCCTAAATATTTCACAATAGGCTCTCCCAAACCAGTAGGAGCCAGCTTCAGCACATCACTGAATCAGGCCCATTTTAAAGATGAGGAAACAGAGGCTTAGAGAGGCTGAGCAACTTGGATTCACTGCAGCGGGTGCAGATCTGGGCTGTCAACATGTGCTTTCTTTGCCACACACCTGCCCCTTCTCTAAGCAGTTGATCCACACTATTTGACCTCGGATCTACTTATTTATTTATGCTTTTGTCATAACGAAGTGAACAAAAATGTTTACCTCCTCGACTGTCAACACCCTGGGAGCAGGGACCATGTCCCATAATCTTTGTATCCTCAGGGCCTCATTCCATGCATGGCACTGAACATTCATAAAATAAATGGAATAAACCAGCCCCAGTTTTAGGGGGAAACTAATAGAATTAACTCTAATGCCATTCTTGTAACAGGTACCCATTTTGAGAGTCACAATTTAATTGGAAAAAAAGAAGAAAGCTAATAATTATAGAGCACTTTCTACATCGCACATGTTACCCATGGATTATGTCATTTAATCCTTAAAGCCATCCTTTTGTGTATGAGGAAGGTAGGGTGTAGCGGGTGAAGCAACTCATTCTGTGTTATTCAACCAGAAGGCAATGGGGTTGAGATGTGAAGTGGACAGCCGGGCCCCAGATACGCTTCACAAACCACAACTCACTGTCTAGTTTAACCACACATGGTGGCTTTTAGTCATTAATTCTGGTGGTGCTTTGGGGCTAAGACTATTTGTTCGTCACATGGAAAAGGTCTTGCCTGTGCTTCGATTAGGTGTGGAGGAACCAGGGGGAAAGTGGGCTTCCTATCCTCTGCTCCCTGCCTCAATACTTTGCAGCCAGCTCTGCAAGAAAGTTTGACTTCTCCACAGAAGACCAGCTTCAAGGCAAGGTAAGTGGTTCAGGAAGCATCCCACTTCACTTTCTCTTTCTTGAATTATATATGAGTTCTGTTACTAGAAACAAAAATTTGCTCTTCTAAATTTTCCACAGGGGCCTCCGAGGAGTTGAAAAACAAAAATCATTTTCCAGTTTCTCTGGCTTCAAGCCTGATTCTAGGACGTGATCCAACCCTAAACGCCATCCAAATGCCTGTCAGCAACACGGTCACTATGTACTCTGGCATATAGTACTGAGGCAGTCTTATGCAATGTTTTTAAAGCATTATGTTATAATTATACCCTGCCTTGTTTCCTGCACATCTCGCAGATGCTTATCCACCAATGGGGTGTTGGCTGACAATCACTCTAAACAAGCCTGGACAAAAGAAATAATAGCGGTCACCCTGAGGAACTTCTGAAAGAATATATAGCTAATGTTCCAGAATGTTTGGCCAGTTAAATATTCTCTTACAGGCAAGTCAAATGTCAGGCAGCATTTCTACCTTTTCCTGTTGTGCCTTTGACTTCTCTTGTTTTGTCCAGAACAACGTCACTTAATTCCTCTGTATCTTAAAATATGTAGACTTCAAACATGAAGCACCAAGGGAAATTCTTACAAATCTCAGTCCCACACCCCAACACCACCTCACCTCCCAGAAGAGCTAACATGCTTAATGAACACTGTGTGCACTCTGTTTGTTGGAACTGCTAAGGGCCCACTGTCCCTATTGCCCCTCCCCTGAGATGGGAGGGAAAGAGCTGTGCCATGGTCAAGCTCACCACGGTCTCAGGCCAGATCAGACCAGATGGAACTCTGGGACAATGTTCCCACCGAAATCCAGGGAAGTGGTGGGGAGGAAGCTCCGGAGGGAAGAATCTAGGTGGTGGAGTGTGTGGTTTACATTCCAGTCTGTGTTTTAAGAGGTTTCCAAGCAGGTTTTAATTAACCTCCAGCTGAAACTTGCTAAACAAGTTTTGCAACCCAGGTTATTGTGTTAGTATTTTTCCTGGTGTATTGTCCTAGGTTTGAATTTCATGAAGTTTATTACTCTAACTACAACTCAGTGGGAAAAAGCAAAGTGTACGTTCGAAACTCTAGGTATTTCTTTGTAATGACTTGTAGGAAAGAATGATATCTGTGTGAGATTTGGAATGAGAAAAGAAGCAAAAATTTAAAGTTGATATTTGCAAGTGATAAGACAAAACCAAAAGTTTTTTTTTTTTAAGAATATGCCTTTTTTCCAATGAAATATACAAAATCTTTTGGTTCGAATGCTAATTATTTGAGACTTAGCTTTTAAAACAAAACTTTAGGTTTCATATGCTCCAACTCTTAAGGGACAAATTCAGGATAGTTTTTCTTTCTAGTCCACTTCACCAAGGCCTGCATTTCAGAGACTAAAGCACCATATGATCTTTCTGCAACAACAACCACTGAATAATAATCACTCCATCCTCAAAGGAGCTACTGAGAAGAGTGGGCTTTGAGGAAACTCAAAAAGGCGTAGGATGCTGCCCCAGAGGCCTCCGTCCCTGACTGCTTAGAATAATCCTGATGTGATCACTGATAGGTCACTCGGTACAGTCATTTATATAAGCCTCTGCCCCAAGCACACATGAGTCATCTAGTTCAAGGCCTTCAAACCGGGAAACATTTGCCACTTGAGGTATACGAGAACTTTCCAGGGGACTGAGTTTTAGAAACTTGGTGTTTCAACATCAAATTCCATTATCTACTGTTTCTAGAAATAATCTGCCTGACAATGCCTCTGAGGTGAAGAAGTCAGACTCAGTTCCCTTTGTCCATCTCCCCTTTCATAATTGCCCCTCTCTCACTTGACTAAAAACAGGTGTATCCCTTATCCACCCTGAATCTTAGCAGAGTGTGCTGCCTCAACGTATAAAAATCTCTGCGCACCAAACCAAAGAATACTTCAGGAATGATAGCTCCTGAGGAAAGAGTGCTCCGAGAGTTAAGCCAGTGTTGGGAAGGAGAAATAATTTTCCCTCTACCTTTCTAGGTTCCTGGCTGAGACCCCCCTGTAATAAATGACAGATTAACAGGAGAAAAACAAACACAAGTTTAAAAACATGTATACCTCCTGTACACATGGGAGAGACCCAGGAAAACTGAATAACTCCCTGAAATGGCCCAAGCCATCACCTTCAATACCATTTCCAGCTAAAGACAAAAGAAGATGTGGGGAGGATGGAGGCCAGTTATGGGAGGTGACCAGGAAAAGCACAGTAAACAAGGGTAAGGTTGTTACGCAGATTTAAGTCCTGCCTTCTTCACTGGTAAGAGTTACTAGAGATTTAGTCATCTCCCTCTTCCTGGTACAAAGGGGGAGTACATCCTTAGAAATGAAGATTTGCCTCATAAATGTAAATATCTCTTACAAAAGGGTAACCGACTGTGTTTTCAGAGCTTCTCCTGTGTCTGCTGTTTCTTAAAAATAACCAGCTCAAGATAATCCTTTTGCCAAAAAGGCATACTTGGGGTTGACATATTCTGCTCCCCTTCACCAGCTTCTCAGATTGCTTAGGAGCACAAACCAAGGTTTTATTTCAAACTCCACAAAGAGGCTCCTGAACAAGCCAATTCAAAGATCCTCTCTTGGTAGAGATGTAAGCAGTACAATAAAGGAACTGCTGGTTAAAGAGTGTCAGCAGTCAGCCAGCTGTGGGGAAACCATAACTTTCCACAGAGAGATTGCTCAAGCATTTGATCAGGGTTGTTGATTACCTCCCAGATGAGACTGCAAATTACATCAGACATAAAAGTTCTATCCCAGACTAGACTTGGGACAATTTTCTCTCTCAAGAGAGAAAAAAAGAGAGCTTTGGTAAGAAAAAATATGGATAGGAATGGTGACTTATTTTATCCACGTGACAAACTGCTTTAAGCATTAGAAGTAAGATAATATTTCATGTTTATTCAAAATGAAAAATGAAGTCAGATTTTCTTTGAAGATTTCTATTCCCCTTCATTCAGCTGTTGACTTAAACGTCACTTCCTCAGGGAAGCCCTCCCAGACCACTGACCTATCTCCTATTATACATTCCACTAACATCTCTTTCATTGCACTCTTCCCAATTGTGATTTGCTGTTCATTTGTGAAATTCTTTGATTGAGATCTGTCTCTCGGTTAGGGCCCAAGCTCCATGAGGGCAAGAATCATGTCAGTTTTAGGTCCACCACTGTTTGGTGAGCAGGGAGAAGGCTAACATTTTGCACAATTCTTTAAAAGTTAGTCTGATTTGGCTGATTGGTTTAACAGTGAAGACTGGGTTTGCCATTAGGTTATAGGGTAGGCACTTTCCATTAACTCAATAAGCTAAATGAGCTGTGCCAAGATTCTGAAGCAATAAAAATAGATTTAAAGTATGTGCATAATGTACAGTGCACTAGAAATCATAGTCTTTACAGCTATTTAACCTCTGATTTTATAAATATAAGACATCAATTTGAAATCAAGGGAAAATTTTAAAATTAAATTTTTAAAAGGCAAAATAAAATGTGTGAGGGGGTGCACAGTTGTTCAAAATTCTTTTAGGGTATATTTGAGCAAAAATGTTTGAATGAAATTGAAATAGTACCATGACTGCATTAATGCAGAGCTCTGCTTCTACTGTTCCTGGGTGGGTGTCAGTCAGCATCTGCTGGAACACATTCATTGACGGGGAAATTACTACCTACATTGCCGCTCAAAGCACTGGTGGAAAGTTCCATTTGTGAAAAAGTTCAGCTAGCTTGGAGTCAAAAGCTATCTCTTTGTTGTTTCCATTCACCCAATTGTGGGCTTAATTCTGCCACTGGGGCTGGAATAGCCAGTCTCTCATCCACTGAGAAGGCTTTTGACGATTTCAAGATAGACATGTCAGATATCCAGTCCTACAATCATTCTTTATTAAATATACTTTTGTGCCATGGTACCATCCTTCTTTGAAGATCTCCATTCCCCTTCACCTAATTAAATTAGCTACCTTCCTCAGCAATGAGTTTAAATGTCCTTTCTGGCACCTCCCAGCAATGTGTCCATTTGCTACTCAGGGAAAGGGGTGAGGTAGAGGGAAAAATACACAGGCTATCCTCATATAACTTGGCCTTGTTTTTAGTTCTGAAGAAAGCCATCTCCAAACACTTCCACCTACACTTCATTGACCAGAATGTGTCAGAAGGCAATCCTTAGCGGTAAGGGAGGCTGGGAATTCTAGTATTTTGCTTTCTAGTAACTCTCGTAGAAAAAGTCATGGGTGTAAGGGGAGCAAAGTGATAAAGATATATTGCAAGAATTACAAGCTATAATTTCAAAAGTAATTTGGAAGACTGTGAGGTGAACTAAATAATCAGCTGACAAAGTAGTTATTGAAACAAAACAAAACAAACCTTTGACACTGTGTTAAAGTTATGCAACATTCTAATTGGGTTAAAGCAAAAATATAAATAGTTCACCAAAAAATGCAGACTCTCAAAAAGTAAAAAGTAGTATCTATGGCCTGGCATTGCTTTGTTCTTAAAATGTCCCAATGACTTCTCTTTCCACTTCCAACTCCAATCACTCTATCCCAAAATGTTAAATGGTTGTGACTTTTGTGTTTTCTAACCAGCACGTAAGTCAGAAATTCTTAGAATACATTTTAAATTGTGGATCACACCATTACATGACTTTGTCTATAAAGGAATTTGATTTTTTAATGCAACTTAATTTTAAAAACACTTACACACAAATGTTTAGTTGATTACGCTGAAGACCATTTTCTTCCGGTGAATCAGCATGATTTCTTCATCAAATTAGGTACTTTTTCTGCTTTGTGGAACATTGGCACTTTCATTTCCTGTTAAGGAAACAGTATCTTCAGAACTCATATAAACCTTTGCCTTTACTATTTGAGTACTGAAAATAAACGAAGAAAAATATAAAACATTTACACATATTTGAGGAATAGTATACCAAATACTTTTTCAGGATTATCTAAAGGTTTAGAAGGGGATTATTTGTTCTGATTGAAAAAAAATTAGCTTTTCATTTGAGTATTTATACCAAAGATCTATTTTTGAAGCTGTTCTGGCTGATGCTGTTGGATTCATGCCTAACTTCTTTCTTTCTGTGAAGTTGTTAGAATCACATCATCATTGCCATCTACACAGCCCCACCTAGACTCTCAGAGTGAAGTCTGGGGTGGCTCCAGGGGTAACAGCCCCAGTTCTCCCAGTATACATTGCATACAACATCCTAACAACTTTCAGGAAAGTTTTTCATTATTAGCATTTTGTTTTAGAAAAAGTCCAAAAGAGGACATGGTGAAAAGTCTAAAGGATAAGGAAGATGAGGAGGAGAAAGCATTTAAAAATAGAATCACATGATTTGCAAGTAGGAAAGAGCAAGGAAAAAGAGGTTGTGAGAAATCGTGGAGAAAATGTGCTGAGTGGCAGGGAAGAGAGGCGAGCAACATATCGAACATTTTTTGAAGCATCTGTATAGGGACAGTACGACGATGACCTTAATGTAGCATCCTGTAGACGGTGCAGGGGGACTACATAAAGGGTTGTTTGGGAACCATATAGGGATTTTTTATGAAACAGTCCAGATTTTTAGTTTTCTGTCTGTAAAGCAAAAAATCAGAATTCTAAATATCGTGGCCTGTAGTGCCTATGGTCTTGGCCTAGCCCACTCCCCGTTTCCCTTCTTTTGTTTGTTTGCAGAACTCCCCTTCCACTTACATGGTCCTCATGTCCTGGTAAGAATATCGGTCACTGTGCCCTGCCCCTCTCTAACCTCCCCCACCCTGGAGTTGGCTCAGAGCTGGGTGTACGCCGGTTTCACAGCTCCCACTATTTCCAGATAGTTCACAAGCTGGAGGCTGTAGCCCGGGGCCGTTGGCTGGCATCTTCCTTGCTTTGAGGGAGCAGCTGCTGCAAAATGCAGTCGAGGCCTGTGCAAATCAGCGCCAAGCACTGAGCATGGGGATCAGGCTCTGCTCCAGCCACAGTCCCTGCTTAGAGACTGCCTCACATTATTGAATATATCCCACGGGGTTAGCTCTTCTTTATACTTAGGTCCCAAACGGCTCGGTAGCCAGTCATGTTATGTTTTTTTTCCTGCCTCCCATTGTGTACAGCAGAGCCTGGCATGTAGTAAAGTAACAGTAAGACTTGTTAAATTCAATTCTTATGTTGTGACAGAAAGTATACTAAAACCAGAATGTTTTTCTAGTACGTGATCACACTAGGTGGCCACTTAAGAAACAACACTTACTGTGCATAATTTACATTATTTCATTTAATCTGCACAACCAATTTGTGAGGTGGATGTTCCAGTTTATGTTCTTGGAATTTTGAACTGAGTTATAAATTGCAATGAACCCAAGTACCTCTGACTCAAATTCTGCATAAGAAAACGAACTGCCCATAACGCCTCCTCTTCACCCCCTCCCGTCAACCAACAAGCAAACTTGCACCATATTATTATTCCTGGTATCTTAGGGGTAAAGGATGTTCAAGGACAAGGCCTTACACGTTGAATAAACTGGGACAAATTATCTGCTTGAGTTTTGTCAAATACATTTCTCAAGCAACAAAATATGTGATTCAGCATAGAAAAAACTAACCACTCATGCAGATAACACATTTTCTGAGAGAGACTTTGGCCAACCTTAATAACTCTGCCTCCGCAGGAGAGGCCTCCATTAGGGGAATGGAAGGAGGGAGGACAAGCCAGTTGTTCGACTGGGACCTTCCAGAACCACAGCTGTGACCCTTAACAAGATACCTGACCTTGGCCTTTCATTTGCTTTGACTTCATTTATGCGTTTAATTCCAAAGTTGCAAATAACAGGAAACGAACCACAGCATTAGCCAGTTAACATCAAAGGTGGAAGGAGACCAGGAGGCCGACTGTGGAAAAGAATTAAAAGGGTAAACATTCCAATGAGTCACAAGCATTCAACACTCACTAGAACCACAAGAAGTAAATTGTGTGGGAACACACAAGTGGACACTCCAAGTAAAAGAAGACCTTCAGCTCTTTCAAAAGTGTAAAGTTCCATATAAATGTGAGAAATAATCCATAAGGCAAATATTCATAAGATGGAGAAATGATTTTTAATGGAAATTAATTTGGGGACATCCCTATTTGCAGTACCTATATTTTATCCGTTTGTTCTTCCTTGTAGAGAGAATAATCCTTGAGGGAGACTTGCTCTTATACTTATCAAACCATAAATGTCACAGATTATGTGGTACTTCAACTTTGAAATGAAAGTTAATAAAAATGGTCAATTTACACATCATGCTACTAGGGGGACAGCAGTAGCAATCTGCTCTTTCTCTTCGGCACAGTGGTTCCCAGCCTCAGGGAGGTTGACAAAATACTGATGCCTTACCCCCAGCCCACCCCAGATTCGGATGTCATTGGTCTGAGTGTGGCCTGGACATTGGAATTTTTTAATCTCTCCAGGAGATTCAAATGTTTGGTTAAGGGTAAGAACCACTGTCTTCAGGATTGCTTAGAAAACAAGGTAGTTGCTCACAGAAGGAAGGGAATTTCCTGAGGTGGGTGGAATCCATAGTCCTGATTCCATCCCCTTTAGTTTAGCACCCTCCACTCCAGGATATGTCCTCAGAGAGTTTCTACTCCAAGAAATCTGGGCATCACAGAACACCTTTTAATTTTCCCATTCTTTCAGATGTTTGAGAGAAAAAGGTATAAAGGAAAACTTCCATGGCCACCATCTTTCATGCAGGTTTTGCTCACCTCCACCTCTTAGGTTCAGAGTCTGGACAAAAAAAAAACGTTCAATTTGTTTCTGTATGCCTGTGGCTTTGGGGCCACGTTGTGATCTTTGACCTCTGGGGTGAGGGTGGGGCCGCTGGAGACTGAGTAGTAAGTTCAGTCCCGTGGGCGCTCTGTGTCTAACTGATCCCAATAAAAACCCTGGACACCAAGGCTTGGGTAAGCTCCCTGGTTGGCAATACTGTGTATAGGTTATCACACATTGTGGCTGGGAAAATTAAGTGCTGTCTGTGCGGTTCCACTGGGAGAACACAACTGGAAGCTCATGCCTAGTTGCTACTGGGCTCTGTCCTATGTACCTTTTTCCTTTGTTGATTCTAATCTGTACCCTTTCACTGTAATAAACAGTAACAGAGTATAACAGCCAAAAAAAATGTTCCAAATTAGATCGTTTAAAGGTGGGACACTGTGTGTGTATGTGTTTGTGTGTGTGTGTGTTAACAACAATCAGAGTAATTTGGTGGAAAGGAGCAGCACAGCAGTGCTTGACATCAAACTTACTGCTAGCACCATCTGACCCAAAGCACATGTAACTTTAGCCGTGAAAATGTTTATGCTGCACATGCAGGGGCTTTGGTTTCTGTCTAGTTTTATTTCACCTGTCTAACAATGAAAGAGAACGAGGAGAGAAAAAAAGTGATCTCTAACTTGTCTTTACCTCTGAGAACTCATTCCAGTAAAGGAAAATGAAGTTTAAGGAGAAGAGGCCAAAAATATTATATAAAGTGAAAATCAGATAGAAAATGAAGATAAATTTTGAAGAGTCTGGTCTCAAAATGAAAGGTTCACCGCTGTGACTTTGCTATAACTTCATTTTGATGATTTCAATTTTATATAAATTCTGTTCCACTCTTTTTTCCTCAGTGTCTGACAAAAACATTGGTGTTTCCTTGATGTACACTTCTGAATCTGCAGAGAGATTAAGATTTACATCTCTCTGAGTTAAAACTGAAAGAGGAAAACAGTATGGAGGTTCCTCAAAAAGTTAAAAACAGAATTACCACATGATCCAGCAATCCCACTTTTGGGTATTTATCCAAAAGAATTGAAAGCAGAGTCTCGAAGAGATATCTGCACTCCCATGTTTACAGCAGCATTATTCACAACAGCCAAGAGGTGGAAGCAACCCAAATGTCCATCGATGGATGAATGGATAAACAAAATGTGGTATATACATAAAACGAAATATTATTCAGCCTTAAAAAGGAAGGAAATCCTGTCACATGCTACAACGTAGATGAACCTCGAGAACATTATGCTAATTGAAACAGGCCAGTCACAAAAGACAAATACTGTATGATTTCATTTATATGAGATATCTAAAGCAGTCAAATTCCTAGAAACAGAAAGTAGAAAGGTGGTTACCAGGGTCTGGGGGAGGGGAAAATAGGGAGTTGTTTAATGGTATATACAGTGTTACTTTTGCAAGATGAAGAAGTTCTAAAGATCGTTTTCACATCAATTTGAATATATTTAATACTAGGGAACTTGACCTGTAACTTAAAAATGGTTAAGACGGTAAATTTTATGGTATGTATTTTTTACCACATTTTTAAAAAGTCTTGGTTTCAAACATCAGAAACAGAATAACTTAAGAAATTAAAGGAAGAAAATTTTGGAAGACTGTTTGATTGCTCATAGAATCTCTGGGAAGGCTGAAGATCCAAACTTCACCTCTAAGAACAAGACAGACTGGGAATCGGGAAATTGGCGTTCCTTTGAAGCTTTAAGAGTTTTGTGTATTCCTTGCACTGGGAAGCATTCAGTAATAAATCTCAGGTTTGTAAATGTCCAGAAAAAAAGATAAATAAAGAACTAAAAGAGGAAGGCTGAGTTCAAGGAAGTCAAAGGGGTCAGGCAGCAGGTGCACTCGGTTCTAAATTAGGACAGGAACAGTCTGCAACTGCAGACTCTGAAACAATGAAAGGCAGCGGACTCAGTACGCTGAAAAGATATTCCATTGTGACCTGAGCATTTTGATCTACGTCTGACCCTGTTCTCACTGTATTAAAAAAAAGTGTCTCTTTGGTGGGAACTAAAAACAAAATCTGATTCATATTGAATTTTTTCCCCAAATGTTACACAAAGGAAAGTAATAATGCCGACTGTGAGAATTGAAGTGGAAATCAGATCTCAGCCCGTCCAGAACAACCAATGGGGACAATAGACAATAACTGTGACTCTAATGAAATTCATTTCTCAGCTGAAGGCACTGGGCCGATGTTTCTCTTGCTCTATTCTTAGCACTAAATGTAACTTTTTCCCTTTCAGGGAAACAGCTCCCTTCAGTTTGAAACAATAGATATTCACACTGCATTCCATATTTTCTCAGTGTTGCCTAATATGTCATGACCTCCTCTCTTCCCCAGCAAGTATGACCGAGATTTCCCCTTCTGCAGGGGGTCACAGCTGTTTTCAGAACAAGAGTGTGTGGAGTCGGCATAATGGCTCAGATCTCCGCAGCAGGAACAGCAGCGTAGAGAGAGGGAAGGCTCAAAAGCTGTGTCTTACTCATCTTTTCATCTCCCGTGCTATGCTTACTGTTTACTGGCATTCAGTAAATGTTTGTTGAATGAATAGGACAAACAAATTCAGTATCTTGATACACAACACATCAAAAGGAGCTAAGAGTTTTAAAGTAAAAGTGGTTGTTGCATTATGACTGCTCAATAAATGCGAAGGGAATGGGTGGTTGAATGAGCTAGATTTCCTAGTGACCATGCCTGCTATTGTCTTTTACACTGCTGTGGTGCGGGGTCTAGCTGCCTAGCAAATATCTACTCCCCAATTCCCTCTCAAATAAAAGAATACCAGTTTTTCACTTGGCATATTGCTTCCCATTTGTCAGACTCCATTGCAGCTAGGTTAAGTTATAGTCAGCAAGTAAGCTGAAGTAATGGATGGAAGTTCTGGGAAGTCTAGGAAGGGAGGCGGCATGTGCTGCTTCCTCTCTTCTTCCATTCTGCTGCTTGGAATTATGATGTGATGGCTGGCGCTCAAGCAGCCACCACAGACCACAAGGATGAGAACCATATCCTAGGGATGGCAGAGTGGAAAGCTGGAGAGAGCCTGAGCTCCTTATGACCATGGAGCTGTCATACCAGCCCTGGACTGCTTACTTCTAAACTTCTTTTATGTGATAAATAAACTTCTAGGCACTAGTTTTAGGGTCTCTGTTACTCATAGCTGAACCCAATCCTAAGTGATACAGCTGTGGTCTTGGAAAACACAGAACTAGGGGCGAGGTCTCAGATTCTATGCCGCCTCTCACACTCCTCTCATCAAGACGTCAAACTCAGTCTAGTGACTGAGTCCTCTACCTCACAAGGGAATCCCAGCTTAGATTGTTGTCATGATATATTTCTGTACAACTGTAAAGGCAGTTTAACTTGACTGGCAGTCCCCAGCTCCTGACTCCTCTCCTCTGCTCCTAGAAGCCAGTGCAGTGCCATGGTGCTCACCAAAGACTCCCCTTGGCCTCTCTGCCTCCCTCATTCCTGACCTCTTCTAGGCCTGCCTTCTCCTTACAGTAAAATTGTCCAACACCCCCTTGCACTCTGATTGAACTGATTCACACTAAGAGAATGAATGACTAATAGTCTTCATCTGGGGAGAGGGGTAGGCGAGCACACCTTTTACAAGTGTATAATTGAGAAAGCATTTGTAATAGGTGGGGGAGAGTGAGAGCAGAACATGGCTGTACCGACGACTTGCCCAGGCCACACAGGTGGGGAGGCAAAGACCTGAGACAGGAACCCAGGCTTTCTAGCTCCAGGCTCAGCATCCTTTCCTTCGAGCCAAAGGGTCAGCACCTTGGGCACTCCATTTCAGCACTGGTGTTACCAAGTCCAGGGTCACCACAAAGACCACATGGAGGGTGAGACGTGTGCCATAGGAGCTCTGCCAAGTTGGAATGTGTTGGTAGGGCCGAAGCCACAGGAAGCCATAGGAGCGGGAAGTCTGTGGGGAGGATCGTGGGCTGCATTTCAACCCAGAGGCTCTGAGCGGTACATGATGGGAAAGGGAAGTGGCTCACATTGTGTGGTGTGACTTCTCTCACGGGGCTCTTTCACAGGAGTCTTCCAAAGAAGACAGGAAACTGTCCAGAAGGCATCTCTATCACTTCTTCCAGGGCTGAGATTCTGCTATGGGTCCCCTATCTTCTCGGTGATATTCAAAAATAACATGATATAGAAATCTTTTTTTTTTTTTAAAGATTTTATTTTCCCTTTTTCTCCCCAAAGCCCCCCGGTACATAGTTGTATATTTTAGTTGTGGGTCCTTCTAGCTGTGGCATGTGGGACGCTGCCTCAGCGTGGCTTGATGAGCCGTGCCATGTCCGCACCCAGGATCCGAACCGGCAAAACCCTGGGCCATCGAAGCAGAGCGCACGAACTTAACCACTCGGCCACGGGGCCGGCCATGTAAATCTTTTTTTCTAATGTGGTAAAATTTACATAACATAAAATTTACCATTTTAGCCATTTTTAAGTGTACAGTTCATTGTCATTAAGTATATTCATGTTTTAACCATCACCACCATGCACCCCCAGAACTCTTTTCATCTTCCCCAACTGAAACTCTCTCCCCATTAAACACTAACTGCCCACTCCCCTCCCTGCAGCCCCTGGCAACCACCCTTCTACTTTCTGGCTCTATGGGTGTGCCTACTCTAGGGGCTTCATGTAAGTGGAATCATACAGTATCTGTCCTTTTGTGACTGGTTTCTTTCACTTAGCATAATATCTTCAAGGTTCATGCATGTTGTAACGTGTCAGAACTTCATTCCTTTTTGAGGCTGAATAACGTTCTATCGTATGGATAGATATAGGAATAGTTTTGAAAGAAAAAATACATGCATACACGCCCTCGCACATATATATATAAACAAAGCTATTGAAGAGATCTGATACTGCACAAGGGGTTTGAGTTTTGAGTCTATGGTTCAGGCAGTGAGTACATAAGGAGTTGTTAGCCTTGCCACATACCAGGTGCCAGTGAAGAGAGAGAATACAACATGGGCCTATCCTCCAAGACAGCTCACTGTCAACCTGGGAAGCAAACACAAGTAGCTTTAATACAATAACACGAAGATTATTGTCAAAACAAAGGTGAAACAGACGTATTCCCCCTAGGAGGTGTCAGAATGATTACACAAAGGTTGACCTTTGAGTCGGCCTTTAAAAACAACGAAGTCAGAGGTAACTAGACTAGTGACCTCAATGGCAGGGCTGAAACTCTCACAGGCAGGGGTGGGTGTTCCAGTTGTGATGGCTGCAAAACAAATTATCCAAAACTTTGAGGTGTAAAAACAACCATTGCTTATGCTCCTGGATTCTGAGTCTTCAACTCCACCACGGCACAGAAGGGACAGGTTGTCGCTGTTCCACGACACCTCAGCTGGAAGGCTTGGAGGCTGGCTCAGTCACATGTCTGACAGTTGATGCTGGCTGTCGGCCAAGATCTTAGCTGGAACTATCAGTGGAATACTCACTGTTCTCTCTTCCTGTGAACTGGGCTTCCTCACAGCATGGTGACTGGGTTCTGAGGGTGAGCATAGTGAGGCAACCAGGTGTAAGCCACATCGCATTTTATGACCTAACCTTAGAAGTCACACAGCGCCACTTCTGCCGCATCCAGTTGACAGGAGGACGTCACTAAGGTTGGCCCATATTCAAAGGGCGGAGAATTAGACTCCACCTTTTGGTGAGAGGGATGGCCAGATACTACAAGAACATGTGGAACCAGAAATATTGCTGTGGCAGTATTTGACCATTTGGCAGTACACGCCTGAGGCTGGAACCACCTTGGCGTGGGGACTCCCTTTGGGACAATGGCTGAGTCCATGAATGCAAATCAGCTATAGGAGTATTAAGAGTGGTAGCCTTGAGCCATCGCTCCAGCCCTTGCAATGACTAATTTCAGTAGTGACCAGGTCACGTCTGTCTTTCATTTAGGACTGACCAATTCAGACCTAGTAAACCCCTGAGGTTCTGGAATACAATTTGGTGAGGGGCTAGGAGAGAGTGAGAGAGGGCGAGAACAAGCAGTACTTGATTGCCTACAATTTGGGTATGTGGGTGCCTGAGCAATTAATTTGATTACATGGAAGTGACACTTGTACCTCCAAGCTGGTGAAGAGGTCATACCTGTACAACTTTCATATGCCAATTTGTGGGCATGACTGCTCCCCTACCACCGTATTAGAAGCTCTTTTGAGGATAGGACCCATCTTATCTGGTCTCCCCAAAGGATTTAATAACAAGCTTGGCCTTTGGAATCACACAACCCTTGATTTAAATCTCAACCCTGCCACTTCCCATTGTGTGGCCTTAGATATGTTATTTGATTGTGCTGGACTTGAGTGTCCTCACATCAGAATTTTAATTAAAAGGATTAAATGAGATTATTTTGCCCTGTACCTAGAAGGCACTCAATAAATGTTAGTTCCTTTCCCACTCAAAAATGTTGAATGGCCAGGCACACTAGGACTCCCCCATGCCACCCTTCCCCATTTAGCTTTTTTATTTCCCATGAGTCCTTCCTCTCCCCCACTCCTCTCATGGTGAATGCTCCAGAGACTTTCCCTGAGCCCTCCAGGTCTGCTTTCCCCAGGAGTTTCACTCCTCCTGTTTCCACCATGGTAGAAGGAGGAGTTGGAGAAGCAGAAAGGGGTCAGGGGCTTCAGGACTAAGAGAGAAAGAGGGGCTGGCATGCCCTGGGGAGGGGGGCTAGTGGTGCAGAGAGGAAGCCGAGTTACCAGAGCAAGTTAAATCCCCTTCATTCACTGATGAAACACATATTGACTGAATCTCACTAAGTCCCAAACACTATGCAAGAAGGATACAGCAGTGAGGAGAAACAAGGTCTCTAATCGTTGTAGACTTTTGGAATTTATATCAGTCATTAGTGTATTGTATGTGGGGGAAAGATGGGGAGAAGATGGTGTAGACAAAATATAGACAAACAAAATATAATATAGTGATAATGCAACAAGGAAAATAAAACTGCCTTACACTGGCTGATCAGAACCCACCCAACCAAACATCAATTTAGGTCAAGACCTGGATGACAAGGAGCTAGCCTTGCAAAGGTCCAGGGCAGGGTTGGACCACCTCCAGCACTACTGACATTTGGGGCCAAATCATTCTTTGTTGTGAGGCTGTCCTGTGCACTAGAGGATGTTTAGCAGCATCCCCGGCCTCTGCCTACAAGATGCCAGTTGCGCCCATCTTCCCAACTTGAAACAACCAAAAATATCTCCAGACATTGTCAAGTGTCTCCTGGGGAGCAGAATCACCTGAGTGAGAACCACTGGGCTAAGGCAAGGGCACTCCTGGCAGAAGGAACAAGGCCCCCAGCCAGCTTGGCATCACCAGTTCCAGCTGCCCCTCCCTCTGGGTGAACCTGTCAACTGTGACAACTGGCAACAGATCTTAGAGAGGAAAGGGGTAAACTAGAAAGTGGGAGTACTTCTTGCTTCAATGCTTCAGCCATAGTCTGCTCTTTTTTTCCATTCGCAACCTGACACTGGGGCCAGACAGTCTCAGGATACAGCAGGGCACACACTCAGGTGGGTACCACAGGTCTGGGCTCTGTGTCACTTCCCTGAAGAGGACCCCCTGCTGTCCACCAAAGTCAGAGAAGGGCCAGGCAGCCACATGCCTATCATTCAAGATCAGATTTTTAGCTGCTTTTAGCAGTTGTCTTTGTTAATTGGAAAAAATAAATGTAAACAACTCTACCTCGAATTTTTACCCTGTAAACTAACCATCTCTAAATATCATCAGCTTCCGAGAAATAGATTAATGAAATTAAAAGAGTCACAAAGAGAAACAACTGAGCCAATATCACTCAAACTCCCTAAGGACATTTTGATTACATTTTGAGAAATTCCCTCATTCTATTTCAGAGACAATAGACAACACTATATGGGACAGAACAGGGGGTCAGGCCAGAGTTCAGATAGCAGGGGTGCTGCTCAGGCAATGCAGGACACGTCTTTCTTTTTCATTATTTTGATTGTGATAAAAAACACATAAAATTTACCATCTTAGCCATTTCTCAGTGTACAGTTCAGTAGTGTTAAATATATTTACAGTTATGCAACAGATCTCCAGAACTTTTTCATTTTGCAAATCTGAAACCGCACCCATTAAACAAGAACTCCTCATTTTCCCCTCCCCCCAGCTCCTGGAAACCACCATGCTTTCTGTTTCTATGAATTTGACTCCTTTAGATACCTCCTATCAGTGGAATCACACAGTATTTGCCCTTTTGTGACTGGCTTACTTCACTTGGCATAATGCCCTCAAGGTGCACCCACATTGTAACATGTGGCAGAATTTTCTTCCTTTAAAAAAAAAAATTGTTCTGGATTGCCTTCTTTTTTAAGCCTGGGTAATATTCCATTGTACGGATATATCACATTTTGTTTATCCATTCACCTGTTGATGGACATTTGGGTTGCTTCCACCTCCTGGCTCTTGTCAATAGTATTGCTATGAACATGGCTGTGCGGATACACACACAATCTTTTTTTAGACATCTTTATTGAGATATAATTCACACACCATACAATTCACCCATTTAAAGTGTACAATAATTTTCCGTATGTTCACAGAGTTGTGCAACCATCACAATTTTAAAATATCTTCAACACCATAAAAAGAAACCCATTAGCAGTCACTCCTGCCCTGCCCCATGATGGTCAGTTTTATGTGTCAACTTGGCTAGACTATAGTCTCCAGGTGTTTAATCAAACATTAATCTAGGTGCTGCTGTGAAAGGTATTTTGTAGATGTGATTAAAGTCCACAATCAGCTGACTTTAATCTAAGTGGGCCTGATTCGATCAGGTGAAAGGCCTAAGAGCAGAACTGACGTTTTCCTGAAAAAGAAATTCCACTTGCAGATTGTGGCCTCAGCTCATGCCTGAGTTCCAGCCTGCCCTTCCTGACAGCCTGTCTCATGGATTCTGGACTTGTCTAGCTAACCCCTAAATCACCTAAGCCAATTCCTTACAACAAACCTCTCAATATCTATCTCCTTAGTTGTTTCTACTGTTTGGCTGTTATGAATAATGATGCTATGGACATCATTTGTGTACAGTTTTTATGTGGATCATGCTTTCATTTCTCTTGGGTATATACCTAGGAGTGGAATTTCTGGGTCATATGATAACTTTATTTATTTATTTATTTAAGATTTTATTTTTCCTTTTTCTCCCCAAAGCCCCCTGGTACAGTTGTATATATTTTTAGTTGTAGGTCTTTCTAGTTGTGGCATGTGGGACATCACCTCAGCATGGCTTGATGAGCGGTGTTAGGTCCACGCAGCCCAGGGTTTTGCAGGATCCAAACCTGCAAAACCCTGGGCTGCCAAAGCAGAGTGTGCAAACTTAACCACTTGGCCATGGGCCGGCCCCCCATAAAACTTTATGCTTAACATTTTGAGGAACTGCTGGACTGTCTTCTCCACATCCTGAATAACACTTGTTATTGTCTGTCTTTTTTATTATAGCCATCCTAGTAGATGTGAAGTCATATCTCATTGTGGTTTTCATTTGCATTGCCCTAACGATTAATAATGTTGAACATCTTTTCAGGTGTTCATTGGCCGTTTGTATATCTTCTTTGGAAAAATGTCTGTTCAAATCCTTTGCCTAGTTTTAATTATTTGTCTTTTTATTGTTGAGCTGTAGAAGTTCTTTATATATCGGGATACAATCTCTTATCAGATGCATGACTTGCAAATATTTCCTGCACTCAATGGATTGTCTTTTAATTTTCTTGATAGTACCGTTTATAGCACAAAAGTTTTTAAATTCTGAGGTAGTCCAATTTATTTATTCTGTCACTTGTGCTTTTGGTGTTTTATCTAAGAAACCATTGCCCAACTCAAGGTCACGATTTACTCCTTTACCAAGATTTAGTCCTATGTTGTCTTCTGAGAGTTCTAGTTTCAGCTCTTACATTTAGGTCTTCTAAAAGTCTTACCTCTTTGGTAGTGCTTTCCCAGGGAAATATTTACAGCACCACCAAAAAACAAAC